GTGAAGCTTACTGTGCCATTAAAGATGTTTGAATTTGTTTTACTACCTTCCCCAGGTTTAATTGATTCCCATTCATTTCCATATGCTATTAAAAATGTACTTACAAAGACTTAACTCAAGTCAGGTAATTCATTGCAGTGAACATCTTGTCCGCATTATTCAGAATTGTGATATTTTCTGTGGTAATGCAGTGCAGGCCTTTAAAATCAGACTGCACTTACAACTGCATTACCAGGAAATAATAAATTAACTTTGACAAAAAAAAATAAAAGTGGACACAATGTACACTGTGATGGATTATACAGTGAAAAAGACATTCAGACATATAGCTGACAGCTGACAGTAATGTAAAGTACATGTGAATTGTAGTAATAGGCTAACACATGTATGCAAAAACACGGATAATAGTCCTTTACAAAAATCTGCTTCTAATATTATATATACCAGTGGTGCATTTACAAATTTGCCTGACACCAGCCTCCATTGCTCCTAAAACTACATCCTGTATAAGGGGCTCTGGGGCCCCGGCTGCACTGAACTAGGTTGAGTTACACTGGGTAGCTAGCTAGATTGATCTGGCTGCAGTATCCAGGGGAATATAAAGCAGGGCAGGGGCTTAAAGTCTGAGTCCCCCCAGGGAGGAGTCCTCACTGCATGGGGAGAGGGGCATGAACTGAGCTGCTTTACCCCCCCCCCATCCCTCCCTCCCTCCTTCTGCCGTTCTGTCCGTCCACTGAATGTCTTCTCCGTCTCTGCCTTCCTTATGACATTCCCTCCTGTCAGTCTCTCAGTCTGCCTCCATCTTTTCCTTCTCCTTGTATTTTATTACTCTCAGCATTAAATTGCCCTTTTACTCCGTCCACACTCCTTCCCTCCTTTCATCCACATTTTCTCTACAACACTCCTCTGTCTCTCTCTCTCTCCTCTGTATTTGCAAGCATATGGGAAAGTGAATATTGCTCATGAAGTTCACACCCAAAATGAAACACCATCAGGGCTGGTGCTGAGTTCAGTATTTAATCTGCCTATAAGGGACACATCTTTTTTTAAAACTGGTTAACATCATTCTGTCCATTCTATGATCTTAAAAGCTGCTTTTCCCCCTTTATAGTGATGGTGAGTGGCCAAGAGGGGAGGTGCATGTGTATGTGTGTTCGAAACAGTCAAGCTGAGCCCACACAGTATGATCTATCACGTGTCAAATCCCCCCAGTGCCTGCTGTGTGCCTCAACCATATATAGCTTAACCTGCTACGATTACTTCTAAAAGAATCAGGGTACAGCAGGAATAAAAGTGAAGTTTAGGCCTGTTTTTTTAAGAGTAGAAAAGCGAGAGTGTTGCGGCGTGCTGCAAAGTTAGCTGCTCCTCCCTGCTGAATCGTGCTATTCTGCTGGGGCATGGCGCAAAGCTTGAGTGTGGTGCTGCTGTGTGCTGTTGTAGTGTTGTGGTGCCGTGATAGCAGGATCGTCCGCTGGGGGAACCCAGAGCGTTCTGTCTCACTGAGTGATACCCCTGTCTCCACTCACGATAAACAGCACGCACAAACTCTCTCACATACACATACACCAGTGTCTGCCAAGCCCAACCTAGCAGCAGATTCCTCCCTCACCCCCACCCCACCCCACCACACAAAGCTGCAAATATATTAGCTGCCTCTTTTCCTTTTGTCTTGAGAAAATGGCAAGCAGGGTGTGTGTATGCATCTGCGTGTGTGGTAGTGGTGGGGTCCTTGCTGTACACTGTGGTGGAACACCCCCTTTATGCCATTCCAGTTAAGATATCCCCATGGTATTTGGCCAAGGCATGGAGAGAGGGAAGCAGAAACTGAGCTTCAGATGTGTAAGAGAACCGGTAAAGGCTCATTTATGCTCATCGTTATTTATATATATATATAGATACGAATCCAGATGGCGCCATCTCTCAGTTCATTTTGTCCATATTTATGCACCTTGTTTATGTCAAGATATGACAATAGAACACAACACCAATTCTGTAAAAATTCCGAACATTGCAAACCAAAGTTCCACCTTTTTTAAACTACAAACGTCTACACGTGGTACATTTTTACGACCTCCTCCACCGCTGCCATGTTTGCCGCGGCCACAAACTGGAAGTAGACGGGCAGTTCCATTGTTTGAAACGTATTTATTCATTTTAAAGGGAGCATAAATGAGCCTTAATGCAGGTTTTATGTGGGGAACAGAAAGTAGACTGACACATGAGGAAAAGAGCGATTTTGTTTCTTTGATTTGAACAGAGAGAAGGTGTTGGACCAGAAATGCATTTTAGATCAGTATAAGTGGTTGATTCATCCAAATTACAAAATAAAATCATACTCACTCCCTTACCACTTTTGGTGCTGTATATAGTCATGCATATCGTTTTGGTTTTACTTGAGGTATTTTAACGTTTTGAGATATTAGTCCCTGTGGTCTCTTTTTAAATACAACCACCTTCTGCCAGAGACATAGACCCAATAAAAGTGTTTGACAGTAAAGTCTGTGGATTAGCCAGAGTAAAGGAGATTCCAAAAAATTGCTCATAAAATTTAGTTTTCAACTCTCTAGTAAATTTATTTCTGTCCTGACTCACTTTTGTTGGGATGGAGGCAGACATAAAAACCATGAGCAGAACACAAAACTATTTGCATGGCTAGATTACTCAAATTTTCTTTGTGGCATTTTTCTGGTAGTTTGGGTGAACTAACCTTTTAACACTCTAACAACATGTGTTGCATTACACATTTCATTTGACAGTGTTCTGCAGACTGAGAGATTTTTTACCATGTTAGCAATGGTTCTTCAGCAGGTTCCCTTCAAAGCTTTTATAGATTTTCAATAGTACAACATAACAGTTAGTGGTTAAATAACAAGGCCCCATTGCATCATCAGTGTCATCGCATTGATCCTAGTAATATTTGAACAGAAATTATTTGACAATCAATCAGACGCATATGGAAGCCTGAGTCCCCCTCCAGTAGTGTGTACAGCGCTGTATTCGGTTTGCTGCGTGACTTCTTTTCAATAAAGTTGAAAAACCAAACATAAAAAAATGTGAACTGAATTTCTTTAGGTTTTCGAAATATTGCTCCAAAAAAACTAATAATTTAACAATGCAACCTCAGGCTCTGACAATTTTTGTTTGAAATTTTTGGGACATTTTGTAGAGTAAAAAAATCGTCACCTGATTATTAAAAAATTGCAGCCACAAGATCTGTCTCTCAAGCCTCAGCCATTGAGTCTCTTAAAGGACTAGAGACAGTAGATCGAAAATGTCTGTAGATTGTATGTCGTCAGTATATCTGAGGCAGATATGTACATGTGGTGCTTAGAATGTAAAAAAAAAAAATATATATATATATACAGAAGATGTCTGTGGTGTCAGTGACACATTACACACATACAAACACATCACTTCCCATTGGTCCTGTATGAGATCAGAGTCCCTACAGCCCCTCGACTGTCACTCAAACACAGATACCTGATGTAGGCGGGGCTGCGACAACTCTCAAATCTGGCAAGTCAAATGTTTTTATTTGTCGGGAAGGCAAGTGCCCGTGTGTGTGTGTGTGTGTGTGTGTGTGTGTGTGTGTGTGTGTGTG